GGTGCTGGGTTATATAGGAAGGGGCATGAATTGATTGAGGTGTTACTTCTACGGGGCTGGTGGCTGTTGGCTAGGTGCTGGGATTGGGAGGGGGGCGAGAGGTGATTGGGCTTCAGGTGGCACCGGCGGGAACCGAGGACCCCGAAGAGAAGCCGGAAGTTTGCCATCTTACTGGTGGGGACCCTTCAGTGCCAAGGACATGCATAGGCCCGACTGGCTATTGTGGGCCAGCAGCTGCCCTGCAAGCATGTTTCAGAGCTTGTAATGAAAACTTTGAAACAGGCAGCTTTGATGGCTATCCAAGTATCATGTGTGCTTTATTTTCCCCTTTTCTCACAGAGGTTTTAATGAAAGCTCAACTTTCAAGAAACAGAGGTAGAGCCAATGCCAGCATCCAATGACAACGACCATTGCCAGGTACTTACTTAGCACCTACTCTGTGCCAGATTCTTTTCATGCAGCTTCTCATTGGCTATTTACAGTAGCCTAGAAACACAGGGGTGGACATTCTACCCTGTAGATGGGAACCGAGCCCCAGATGTCCTGAGTCACATGGCCAGCCAAGGGCAGGAGGGCAGGGCTACAGCACAAATGCAATGAGGTCTGGCTCCAGACCTCCAGGTAAAACCTGTTTTACTGTTACCTAAGTTCATCTACTGCCTTGTACAGATCCCACTTTAAAAATCCTCTCTTCTTAAAACAGGCCTTAATTTGGAATTATAAATAATAATTTATAAGTATTTTTCTCTAAGGAGATCAGAAATCTTTCCATAGATACAATCTTGGTGAAATATACTTGCGACAACCTCCCTCATTGCCAATTCGACTCTTCAAATCATGGCTCAAGGTCTACATGCACTTCTAGAAGGTTCCAAAAGACCTATTCAGCCTATTCTGTAATTATGTTCTCTAATTAGTATTAAAAAGAATTGCCTAATTTCTGAGCCACCTTTCCTCCTCAGTGCATTTCTGTGATTTAAAATTATGTGTCAATATTAATGAATAATGATCTTGTCTCCATTATTCAATTAAGGCAAGAGGGCAGAGAACAGTCTTTTCTTCCCCAGCAGTGCCAGGCTTTGGAGTACTTTGCCCTTTATACCCCATGATGCTAAAAAACCTTACAGAAGAAAAAATGCTTGGGATACTGTGAGATATATAACAGAAAAAAGAACTAGTGGTTCTGAAAGCATGGGCCCAGACTTGCATCACCACCTGGAAAAGTTGTTAGAAATGTGAATTCCCAGGTCCCACCCCAGTCCTACTGAATCAGATGCTCTGAGAATGGGGCCAGCCATCTGTTTTTGGAGCCATCTGGGTGAACTCAAGCTCCTTCAAGTTTGAGAATCGGTAAACTCAATCTTCTCCGAGAGCAGACATTAAATCAGGCGGTGAGGCTTGTCTTCACTACCTTCCTAATCGCTGGCACGTATCCCACCCTTTGTCCAGACTTGCATCACCACCTGGAAAAGTTGTTAGAAATGTGAATTCCCAGGTCCCACCCCAGTCCTACTGAATCAGATGCTCTGAGAATGGGGCCAGCCATCTGTTTTTGGAGCCATCTGGGTGAACTCAAGCTCCTTCAAGTTTGAGAATCGGTAAACTCAATCTTCTCCGAGAGCAGACATTAAATCAGGCGGTGAGGCTTGTCTTCACTACCTTCCTAATCGCTGGCACGTATCCCACCCTTTGCACTGTTAGAATTTGATGCATATAAACAGGATCCGATTAAAGGGGGGCAGAGAAGGGAGCTGTGCACCGACACCTTCAGCACTGCTCTACCTCTGCGTCCTGAGGTGACACAGACACAGAACGATCACAACACTCAGCTCTCAGCCACCTAGAGAAACTTCCATGTCTAGAGGTCCCTGGGTAGCTGAAACATCCAGCGGGGGTAGGAGGCCTCGGTGCGCAGCCCGCGTGTGCCCCGCCCCGGCGGCCACGTGCTCCCTAGGTGCGGGTCCTTGGTGAGCCTTAGGAGGCTGGTCACTTACTCTGGGTGCAGTAGAGCCCCCTCCAGCCGGAAGCACACTTACACTCCCCATGGTAGGTGCTGCAGAAGGCCCGGTTGTGACAGCTGCACGTGTGGATACAGTTGGGGCCCCAGTGGGCAAGTGAACAGGCTGCAACCACAACAACACACGAGAGCCCCGTTAGAGCTCTGAGGCCAGCCCCCAATACAGAGAACCTCACCCACCCTTTCACACCTCAGGGAGCGAGGTATGTTACCAGTGCGCAGAAGGATGAAGTCTGACTAAACCGGACTACGATGCTGCCTGCAACAGCCATCCTTCCTGACGTCCTCACTCCCAGACAGAAGGGAGAGGCAGGCAGAGCAGAAACCATCTCAGGTTCACAGACTGAGTTCTTTAATAAACACACGTGGAGCACCTACATGCCCAGCACCGTTACAGGCACAGGGGGAGACAGCGGAGGACAAGGTCCAGAGCACCCTGAACGCTTACATTGTAGTAGGGGAGACAGATAAAGTCAACTACCAACCAACCAGCCAACCGAAGAAATGATGGCAGGAAGCACCGTGAGAAAAAATGAAACAGGGTAAAGGGGGACAAGAATGGGGAGAGCTGCTCCTCTAGGGAAGGCCTCCGAAGAGAGGACGCTTGAGCAGAGACGAGCTGGGCAAAATGACATGACTCAGGAGGAGTGAAAGGGCCACGGTCACATAATTTATCTCTGTGATCTCTAAACCCTGCATTTGTCCACTCGTCCAGAGTTGTCACTAGAGGATTGTTTTAAATGTCTCCCAAACGTATGTGAGACTTGGTTTACTCATAAAACCTCTTAATTGGAAGCAGAAAATAGTAAAACTGGCCAAATGAAGAACAATCAGAACCTCAGACAAAGCATCTGTGAAATAAGGTAAGATTACGGGATGACATGATTTGATTTACAAAAACAAAAAAACAACTTGTTATTTATACCAATGCTCCAAGTACATGTATCTGCTAGAATGAGGATTATCTATATGAGAAGACAGATGTTAGTTGAATGTACTAAGGTAATCATTTCACAACATATGTAAGTCAAACCATCATGCTGTATACTTTGAACTTATACAGTGATGTATGTCAATTTCTCAATAAACTGGGGTAAAAAAAGAGGACCACCATAATTTCTATACAGTTACCTAGGAGGGAATATGGCCCAATAAAGATAATAAATCTGATGTAATTTGTTAAATGAAAAAAAATTTTTCCATAATTCTGTGTACCATCATTGCCCAACAGCATGGGAAAAATAATAGCCAACACTTGAGGTCTGTAATGAACCTTAGTTCTCAAGTTACTATTTGGGTTTAAATATAGGACAACTGCAAAGAGCTCTTAATGAAAAACAAAGTAATTAAAAAATTAGAAAAACTCAATTTTTAGTCAGTCAAATATTTTTCCTTGATTATATTTACTAAAAGATTTAGTAAAATCTTAGGCATCATTTGCTAACTCCAGTAGTCTACTGGCCATTTTGAACTCTGCAATTCTATTTTCCCCACAGCACTGACTTTTAAAGTCTACTAGCAGGACATACGATTTGCCGCAAGGTTTGGCTGATGTTGACTCCTGGTAATTGAGGTAAGGCCAATGCCAAACTTGGTGAATAAAATATTTACAGGTCAATGTATTTCTGGGACACCATTTGCAAGATTTAAGGCAGGATCAAGAAACATATCCTGATGATGCCAATGAAGTTATTACTGAGAAGAAATGGCTAAAGCCCCATCTGTTAGGTTGGTCCTGAAGGTTGGAAAGAATAAAGCTCCTGGGGAAGCACTGTCCAGAGTAGTTCTGCAAAGGACAGGGTGACCTATCACACTCTCCTCTGCCCTCAACCGCAATGGAACATTACAGTGACCTGAGGGCTGGGCCTCCGAGGATGGTTCTGCACATGGAGCCCCAAGAAGGGAAGATGGAAATTACCGCCAAAGGAGTCACTTACTTCTCTGACAAGTGGTGCCTCGGAAGCCGGGCGCACACTCGCAGATGCCATCATCGTCAGGGGAGCACAAAGCCCCATTTTTACAGTAGCAGGGCAGGGAGCAGTTGGGGCCCCAGCGTCCCTCAGCGTACACACTGTCACAGTGGATACCTGAAACAACGCCCAGGGGCAAGGCCGAGTGAGAGGCAGTGTGGTCGGGCGCCTGGGGGGCCTAGGCCAGAGGCTTGGACTAAGATCACAGTATCAGAGCTGAGTTATCCCAGGCAACGGTGAGCAGGGATGACAGAAGGCTTAAAACCCATTTACACACATCAACAAACCATCATACATTGTGTGGTTGTGTATGTGTCAACAAAACATTAAAATAATCCCAGAACTATTTTCTATAGAGCCACCACGGAGAGGAATCAAACACCTTTGTGATAATGCTTTTTCTTCTTTGGGAAGAAGAAGCACAGAGGAAACTCAAAGACTCTGTCTATTATAGCCAAAATTTATCAAAAATATTGTATCATTTAGCCCTCAGATGACTTCCTCCCTTCCCTCACTCTTTCTTTTTACAGAGAAATGGACAAAGTGTAAGAAGATAAGTACATGGTGGTTAAATTATTTTACATAAAGAAAACTCTCTCCCTGGGGCAAACAAGCAAACACAATCTTAAAATAGTTTGATGATATGTTGTGCAGGACAGAAAGATACACTAATGTCTGCCACCAACTCCTCTTTAACAATTTAATCTGACATTGGACAGATAGATATAGGCAGAATATCACAATTGACATTATTTATAGCTGTTGTCGAAGCTACGGATTATTAGGAAACTGTACATAGGTGTTTAACTCTCATCCTGGAAACAAACTTCAGAGTCAGTCACAGAATGAACAAATGCCTAATGGAAACATTAAGGGAAATCAAAATTGCAAAAATGAAAATAAAACCAGGTTTTATTTTGACATAGGCAGAAGTCTCTTTTGCAAATTGGTATTTAGCATTCTTTCTTGCAAGTCAGAATTCCTCACAACTCTAAGAAATGCTCTTTGCATTGAGAGGCAAGAGTAAGTAAGGCATTGAGAGTAAGAATGAGCTATAATTAGGAGTGACTGACAGCTGCTGGCCTCAGACCAAGTGAAAACATGGTAAGAACCAGCATGCACACACTCGAGGAGACCAGAACACTAACACGACCCGGCACCAAGCAAGCTGAGAAGGCCATGTTTTGTATTACACTTTTTGCTTCTAAATTGGTTAGAAGTTAGCATGGCCTGAACCTTAAAACATAAGTAGCCCCAAACCATAATGTGAACATTGCTAATTGGTGCACAGCCATTTCTACTGAACCATAACTCCACATTTGACTGTTCTGTTTTTCCCCTTCTGAAAGTCTCCCACATAGTAAAGGCTGTTAAGTAGGCATGAAAGCCCATAGACCTCACTGTGCCTCGCTTGAACCAACAATAGACTATTATTTTAGCGTGGACTGTGAACTGAGGAAAGATCAGTTCTGTCCCAAGCTGACTGTGGTTTAAGTGTCCCCCATAGAATACAATATGAAATTTTGGCTTACTATGATTTTTTTGTGACTTCAGAAATATACAAACTTTCTTTCAAATCTGCTTTGAAAAGCTGAGATGGAATTGCAAACTCTATGCTCCCCAAATTCACCAGCAACAGGTCTTATCTGTTGCTTTGACTCAGCATCAGATGTATGGAGGAGCAACCCACTTGGAAAGGAGGCTGCAAACCTAAACTGTTCTGTGAATATGAAGTACCAACAAAGATAACCTGCTACAAGCTTCACCCTCTATTCAAATTCAGGTCCTGAGCCCTGGCTGTGAGTCAGGACTCCTGTTTAACCACAGCTAAAATGGGGACACCTTTTTCATAGAGAATCAGACAACCCGTGGCCTTTTGGTCTGGAGCCATTCAGACAAACCTCAGTTAGGATTCTGGAGAGGCAGAAGCTGAATCATTAGGTGGTTCATCTAAAAATCATCCTGAAAATTAATCCTGATTTTTGTTACTTTTTCTGTGGGGTAGGAGTTTGGGGAAAGGGGAGATTTAGCTACTTGCAGTGATTCAGTTTATCAGCTACTTGCCAAATCTTTCCTTCACCTTAAGTAAATGTAGTTAAGATGGAATGGAGTACAGTTCAGGTCAAAAAGTATATGCTTCCTTTTTACATCATTGATCATCATAATTTATGTATGACTTACACATCCTCAATCAGAGCATGTTAAGAAAAATGACTCTAGGGAAGATTGGCAAACCTGAATAAAGTGACCAGTTATTTCATACCTGATTCCTCTTTTCCCTAACATAACCATCAGTCACAATCAACTTCACCAGGGTAGTTTTCATGTAAGTAACAAGGCCCACAGTATAGCAAGAGATCCCTTACAAAGATAAGCTTGTTTAACACGATTTACCTATCATTTCAATTCCAGAGAATCACAGGGTATTCTAGAGACCATCTATCAAATCGTCTGTCTCCAATCATGTAAGCATATTTCAAGAGGAACCAAGCTTAGTTGTAAATAACTTTTTCTATAGGACTGCAAAGTCTTTCCTTGGAAAGTAAATTATAACAATTCAATTACCAACTTCCCCTAAAAATTCAATCCATTTCTTTTTTCTCTATCATCACTAAAAATCAGCCATCATTTTGCAGATATTGATGCCTAATCTATTTGAAGGCAAATGTAAAATGTCTCAGTCAGGGGGACAGTGGGAACTCAGGGAGACTCAGGGGAAAGTGGGAAGCTGTCTTTTTTCTTCTTGCTGCATCATTTTCTCTTATTTCTGCTTCTTGCTTCAGACCTCATGCTCTCCTGTTATCTTTCCCTTCTTCTATAGTCAGGAAAGGATAGGATAAATTTATTGATGCTGAAATATTACCCTTTCCAGAGAATGTTACTATTTTAAGAGAATATACATGTTAAGAGCTTAAAAAATAAATCTCTAATTGTGGAATTTAAGACAGCAGGGCTCAGAGTGGGTACTGGGGTAAGCGTTTCACTAGGTCACACTAGGTATATGGCTATTGATGTGACCTCTATGTAAGGCTAACCCTACAGTGAAACTTTTTCCAGGAGAGGGAATTTAAGTTTACTGTAACCATTTCTTTTTTTTGGTTGTGTGTTTGTATGTATGTGTGTGCATTTTATTCGTGAATTAGTTCCATTGATCTCATCCTACTCTTTGCAAACTTTGCTAGCTCCTACAAGACTTCTTTTTGTTCCCTAGTTTGTCAGATACAGAAAAGAGAATTCAACTCAACAAGCACTCAAGGGGTCCAGTGGCTGTTGGCCTGCTGGTGAGAGATTCCCTAAGAAAGACTCCAACTCTGGAGTGATACAGGCATACCCAACTCTGTACTGGGATCAGTTAGGGAAGGAGTAGTTTACAAAGGTGAAGGAGGGTTCCAAGCTAACAGAACAGGGGGTGTAAGGGTTAGAAGCCCAATGAAGTATGTGTCTATGCTTCAGGAATCCTAAATTGGGGACCGCTGAGATTGGGGCTGGGAAGCGCAAGAGAGGTGTCTGGGCAGCCAGGTGGTGGCCACGTCGGGAGGAGGCTCCTTGCTGGGGCGTGGGAGCTTCCTCCTGCTACTAACAGGGACCAAAGGCATAATTAAACAGGAGACACACATAATTAAATTAGTATTTGGTAGGAGGGTGGAGATGCTTTGAAGATGATGAATCTGAAAGAAAGAAGACTTGCCAGGTGGCTGTTTTGGGTTATCCAGGTAAAAATGATAGAAATGACAAGGTCTTAAACTAAATCAGTGGCAGGTGGGATGCAAGGAAAGATGAATTCCAGAGAAACGTAGGAGAGAATGCAGATGAAAGATCCTATACCCACCTCACACTCCACCCAGGGTAACTAATGAATTCTGGCAGCACCACGAAGGAGAGACGGGGCCTGTTTTTGTTCATGACAATGCTTAGTGCACGGAGGGTGTTAAATATTAGTTGAATAAATCAATAAGCATGTTCCCTCTTTCCAACACGACACTCAGGACCATTTTCCAACTGGATGGAGCAACCATATCATTCTTTCCTTCCCTGAAGAAGTGATGAGAAGTATACTCAAGCCAGGAAACCCAACATATTTATACTTTGTATACCAGCTAAGAGGTTGAAAATGTCTGCCTTGCTTATTTTTGAGACTATATACTGTAATGAGCTCAGGTCTGTGCTTTTTAATGTTAGCCTATTAGATTATAAAGCAACAGAAAAATTATGAGACATCCCAAAGAAACTCTCTTGGAATGTTCACCAAAGAACAGCTAAAGGCTTTAATAGGCATTACTTTAGGAAAGAACTCCATGAAATATTTGGAAGGGACAAAATGGAAAGGGGTTATCTTTAAATTTGCAGCAATCTCTGTGGTTCAATGGAAGCATTTCTTCCTGATAAATGTTCTAACGCTGATAAGGAAATCTGTGAGGGAATGTTTTTTGCCAACACTGAGGACAAAGAGCTCCTTGATAGCCTTCACAAGTTGCTAGGCAATGACTGAATGATCGTGATAAACTTCAGCTAAGCAGCTCTAAAGAAACGTTTGTGCATTTACTGCCTGATGCATTATGCCAGTGGCCTCAATGTGAAATCAGCATTCACTAGGCATTTGTGATTTCATGAATGCAATAAATAAATCATCTGGGTGTCATTATTTCCCCCTCTCAGGGATAGAACCCAGACTCCCTGTCTTGATTAATTGTTTATATTCTTTATGCCTATATTGTGACATTTGGAGCATTAGTGATGGAAGGAAATCATTTTGATTCGATGTCTCGTTTCTGAGCAACAAGCTGTTAAACATCTATTAGAGCAAAGAGAGAGATTTGTTAATAATAATAATTGCGCTTGGTGATTATAGGAGAGAGGAATTACAGTATTTAGTCATACCACTTTCTCTGCTTTTCTAGTCCTCTGGCTGACGAAGCTGGCTTACTGTGAGTGTACTGCGTGGTGGACCCACCTCTGCCCATACAGCACCTGCCCTGAGTGAACATGAGCTTCAAGCCAGGAGCCAGCCCACTTCATCTCTGTGGGCCCAGAGCCCAGGGCTATGCTTGCATACATCTTGGAAACGCCAACAAACAGCTGTTAAACCAAATCTATTTGGATACTACAAATTTTAAAGATCCATTAAAAAAGGATCTGCTTTATACAGATAACCAAGTTGAAAAAACATCTTGATAGGTCATATAAATCAGAGATGTCTGCATGTGCAGATGCAAGACAAAACCACCAGGGAGCATGGCCTGCCTTAGTCTGAACCCAGATAAAAGCAAACGGAACAGACTGCTACGCAGACTGGGGGATCCAGGAGCTTGCACTTTTTCTGCATGCAGCCTTTCCTTTGGGAAGGCAGATCCCTCCCTCCACCCTTGCTTCAGGACTCCCATTCTGCTTTTATGTTAACTCCCTCTCCACAAGCACATGCAGACAGACAGAGAGATACTGCTGCAAAGGCACTCTCCACCCCTCAATAGCCTAAAGAGTCTGTGAGTCATTTGCACTTGTGGCTGACTAGGAGCATGCATGTCATTAAAACTCACTTGCATGCACGTGTTACTGGACAAAGAAAGGTAGGTCTTCCCTTATTATAACACTCAGACATCACTAAGTTGCAGGAGATTATTCTGGAACTATTGGTACCTGAAATAAAAGTTCACTTACTCAGCTGGCCAAACCTGGTGTGTTTAGGAAAACTTAGAAAGGAGGGCTGTGCTTGTGGACAGGGGCTGGGAACATTGTAGGCCTAGTTCTGCTTGCTGGGAAGAGAAGAGCCAGACTCTTCTCATAAACTTGCTTTCAAATTTTTCTCCCTCTGATGCCGCTCCTCCTGTCTGGGCTCCCACTAGTGCCCCACCTCTCTTCCTGCTGTTTCTCCCCTCCTTACCAGTGTACCATGCCTCACTAGTCCCTCTTTCCCAAGACTCCTAGGTTGTGCACTACACAAGAGCCCTTGGTGACAGGGCTACGTCAGGGCAGAACCCCAGCTCATGATCCATCCCCCAAGAAGTGCATCCTGAGGAATTTCCAAACCTTTTCCAAATTTGTATAAAAGGTGCTTTATGGGCTGTCAATGGCTTCATCCTCCTACTTATCCACCCTACAGATTGTTATTCAGTAGGTGTAAGGTGGGGACCAGGAATATACAAGTTAAAACAGTTCACAGGTGACAGGGATGTTACATAGGGCTGGGAACCAGGATGGAGACAGAGTATATTTCCCACACAGCTGGAATGACATCCTAATTAGCTGTAATGCTCAGTGAAGAGGTGTTCTGGCTGACCGTCAGAGCAGAAGGGAAGAAAAAAGTCAGCATGTTTTTACTGTTTGGGGAAAATACTTTATAAAGCATATAACTGCACTACTCTGGACACACACACACATATACACACACACCTAATTAGATTTCTTTGACATCTGGAATTTCAGAGTAATCATTTTGAAAAGTCAGTTTCATTTTATAGTTGTGTGTGTGTGTGTGTGTGTGTGTGTACTTGTGTGGAAGAAAGAACACAGGGCACAGCCTATATCATGGATGGTGTTCCATTTTTCACCCTTTTTTATTGTACTGCCCCTTTTTTGATAAGGTAGTTGATTGGCTAAAAATATCAATAAAGTTTTACATAACCACATATAATAAAAGTACATGGCTTTTCTTTTGAAAAATGGTACACTTCTTTTGGAAATACTTTCTGGGATATCAGCGGCAATTTATGTTTAGTTATACAGTATGGTAGCACATTTTGAAAACTTATTTTATAATGAGGTAAAATGGGACTATCAGTTATAGTGAAAACAGTCACAGTTCCTTTGAGAGAAAAAGATAGTTAACCATTAGAAAAGAAGGTGAAGTTATGAGGAGTGGTAGATGACCCCATGGCACGAAAGCAAGCCCACTTCCTCAGCATATCAGGTTAGCACATGACTCCTCACCTTAGGTATGTCCCTTTCTTTGAAAGAGGGATGGATGACCTCTGGCTCCAAACCCGGTGGCCTGATCAGTCTCTCCCCACTGCATCCTGTTGGTATCTCTACACCACCCCGCTGATTTGGGCAGAGGAAGGGCCCAGGTCCCTGTGTTAGACTGCACTGATTTTTCACCAAAGCCTCACTGTTGCCCCCACAATGCTACCTTGTCTGCTAATACTTAACATTTTACCTACAGTGATGTCAGGGACAGGGATGAGAAGAGAGAGAATCACTTGCTTCCCTGGGTTTATGTTGTTTAGTTGGCCTCACACCTGGTATCTGAATGGAAAGCAAAGCTTCCTTTATATTGAGACAACTTATGAACTACTTACTGGAAAATTTGGAGTCTATCCAGGGTGGACAATGAAATGGTATTCTCTGTAAATTATACAGAGTCTACTCTTCTTCCCTTTTAGAAAAATAAGCCAATTTTTGGTCAAGTTGTAGGGTGCTTTGGGGAACTTCAGGGGCTTTCTTTTCCACTCCACATGGTAGATTACACCAAGGGTTTTTGTGAGCATGGGGGATAACTGCTCTGAAGAAAAAGGTCTCATAGCAGCCTTAAATACTTAAAGACCAGCAGCCCAACAGGAAACCTAAAGAAATTAGACTGTGGGGCCACAAAGCAAAGAGATGATAAGCAACAAGTGACAGAACAACACAAGACAGCAAAGCTTCTTCCTTGGAGCAGCAGGCCCGTCACAGATGGACACAGGATGACAAGATCACGTTGTGTGAAAAAGCCACCACATTCCCACAGGAGCTCTGAAGGTCTGTGGCCAGGCGGGATAATCTGTTTTACCCCATGACCCAGACCATGGAATGCGGCTAACACATTTTCTGGCTGGCTTCAGGCCAAATCACATCTACTGCTTTTCTCAAGTATACTATTCTCTGTCTGACTCTAAATCATCAAAGCAGGTAGACATTTGAGCAGTGACTGGTGTGTTCAGGAACACCTTGAATTTTCTCTACACCCCTAAGAGAGAGGGAGATTTGGTGGAGCACAGCCCCAAACAAATGATGTGGCCTCTCTGTTAGGAAAGTTCTGAGTTTGCCTGGGGGTTAAAAACATAATTTGGCTTCACTGCAGTCACTGGGAATTTAGTACTGGTCACTCTATTTGAGAACATCAAGAATCCAAGGAAAGCAACAAAATCTAGTTTAATCTCTGGCATGATGTGGTTTTACATTTAGCAACTAAAAGCAAAATAGAAACATGGATAAGTGAAATTTCATATTGTATGAAGTCAGAGTTATCTCAGCTTTTGCAAGTAAGGAGGAATAGGGAGTTTTGCATCTGTGGCCAACTCCTTTGACAGAAAATAAAGCCCACTGCAGCCTTGGCCTCAAGATAGCTCTCAGACCCTAGAAATGAAGCACATGGCAGCTTGTCTCAGTTACTCTTCTCAGAAGCCAAAGGAAGCTCTAGACAAATTTCAAAGGACTCAGAGACACCACTGAAGATGTTACGGATAAAATCCTATATTCCAGTACCTGAAGACAGACAATTGTTAAATTGACAATACTATTCCCCATGTTGATCTACACATTCAATTCTCATTAAATTATCATCTTGTTTCTTTGCAGGAATTGATATGCTGATACTAAGATTCATATGGCAATTCAAGGGACCCAGCGTGGCCAAAACAATCTTGAAAAAGAAGACAGATGTTGGAGGACTCCCACTTCCCCATTTTAAAACATTCTACAAAGCTACAGTAATCAAAACAGTATGGTACTAACAGGATAGGTGTATGTATCAATGCAATAGAAATAAATGCCCCCACATTTATGGTCAGTTGATTTTTTACAAGGGTATCATGACAGTACAGTGGGGCAAGAATGGTCTCCCCAACAAATGGTGCAAGGACAACTGGATATCGCCATGCGACAGAATGAAGCTGGACCCTTCCTTCATACCACATATAACAATGAACTTGAAATGGGTCAAAGACCTAAATATAAAAGCTAAAACTATAAAATAATTAGCAGAACACACAGGCATAAGTCTTTCTGAGCTTGCATTAGACATTGGTTTCTTAGATTTGACTAAAAGCATAAGAAACAAAAGAAAAAAATAGAAAAATGGAACTTCATCGAAATAAAAACTTTTCTGTGGCAAAGGAAACCATTAAGAAAGTGAAAAAAAGCCTCACAAAATGAGAGAAAATATTTATGAATTACATATCTAAAAAGGCATATATAGCTAGAATATATAAAAAAATATTACAACTCAATTAGAAAAAGCCAATCCAATTAAAAAATGAGCAAAGTATCTGACAGACATGTCTACAAAGAAGATATTCAATGGCCAATAAACACATGAAAAGATGCTCAACATCATTACTTATTAGGAGAATGCCAATCAAAACCACAACGAGATAACATTTCACACCCACTAGGATACCTATAATCCAAAAGACAGATAATAATGAATTTTGGTGAGGATATGGAAACCTCACACATTGCTGATGGGAAGGTAAAGTGGTTCGGCTGCTTTTAGAAAACAGTGTAGCAATTCTTCAGAGGGTTAAACTGAGAGTTATCACATAACCCAGCAATTCTACTCCTAAGAATATACCAAACATATATACATCTACACAAAAACCTGTATATGAATGTTCACAGCAGCATTTTTCAGAAAAGCCAGAAAAGTGGAAATAACCCAAATGTCCATTAACTGATAAATAGGTAAATAATGGCCCGTCCATACAGTGGAATGTTACTTGGCAGTCAAAAGGAATGAAGTATTGATACATGCTCCAGAATGGATGAACCTTGAATAAATATGCTAAGAGAAGGAAGTCAGGCACAAAAACCATCAATCCATATAATATCTAGAATAGGCAAATCTTTAAGAGACAGAAAGTAGATTAGTAGTTGCTGAGACATGGAATAAGCGAGAGAAGAGAGAGAAGAAAAGTTCGTGACATGGGGGTGTGTTTTCTTCCTTCACAACAGTAATAGTATCATACAGCAGCATAATAGTATTATAACTCCTTTCAGGTTCTGGGACCTGATTTCACTGTGTTTGTGTGAGAGGGAACTCGATCCATGCACAACACCAAGCAATTTTCGAACACCAGCAGGGTGTCCAAGAACTCAATTCAATTCTGACACTGTCTGCCCACAGACTGCACCAGATTCCCCAGGTTAAGGGTTCCACCCTAAAACACTGCCCTCCAACCCCCACTCCAGACACTGGTTGCAAGCCCCAGGCAGTTACCTGTGCTTCTGACCTGTGGGCTACAGACTGGAGGTTACCATGACCTTTCCCTTAGTTTTGATTAATTTGCTAGAGCGCCATTCCTGAGTTCTAGCAAACAGAGCTCAGGAAAACACTTCTACCATTTTAATAAAGGATACAAATTAACAGCCAGATGAAGAGATATCTAGGGCAAGGTCCTAAATAAAGGAGCTTCTATCCTCCTGGAGCTTGGGGCCTGACTCATGGCATGTGGAGGTGTCCTAGTTCCCCGAGCACAGAAGCTTTCTCTGACAAAGAGAGCAACAAGCTGTTCTCAGGGGGTTCTTGAGAGGGCTTCATTGCACAGTATTGACTAAATTTTTGCCATTGGCTGATTCAACCTCCAGCCTGCCCTTGGGTGGGTCCAAAAGTCTCTCATTAACATGGCAAGACACCCATTTCACCTTTAAGACTCTGCAATGTTTTCAGGAACTGCAGGTGAAGTCCAAATATACCTGCAAAGTATACATTTGGTCATATGAATGACCAAATATGTATTTCTTATGACTCATTATATCACAGGGGTAAATGAAGAATGACTGCTAATAATTACTAATGGGGTTTCTTTGTGGTGTGATGATAATCTTCTAAAATTGGTAGTGGGGATGGTTGTATAATTCTTTGAAAATACTAAAAACCACTGAATCATACACTTTAAATAGGTGAATTCTATGGTATGTGATTATCTCGCCCATTCTCTTCTCATATCAATCTATCTATCTATCTATCTATCTATCTATCTATCTATCTATCTATATCTAGAGAGAGAGAGCTTGCTTATTATCTATCTATCTATCTATCTATCATCTATCTGTCTATCTATTATCTGTCTATTGAGAGAGAGAGAGAGAGAGAGAGAGAGAGAGAGAGAGCTTGCTAGTTATCATCACTAATCACCAGGGTCCTCTCATATAATTCTCAGAAGTCTTCATCCATGCTCAAAATAAGTCGCAGCATAATTATGCCCTCTCCCCTAGCACTTTCTGGAAGAAGTCTGTGTGTGGTAGCAGGGTGTTATTAAGAGAGCTGGCTATGCAGTAGGACAGCATTGGTGCAAACCCTTCTCTCATGTTTACTGACTCTGGGAACTTAGTCAAGCCACGGAATATCTCTGCCTCAACTTCCTCATCTGTTAAGAGTCAGAAATAATATTTCCTACATCATAAAGCTGTTGGGAGCCTACAGTAAATGCTCAATAAGTATTACTTGTTATTTCTCTTGAGTCTTCTTTGTATGCAATTTTGCTAAAAGGTAAGACCATCCTGACTCTGTAATTTCCTGAATGTGACATCTCTGATATGGAGGCATAAGATTCCCCTCTATAAGA